TAATCCTTCCAATAAGTATTTCTGTGATCTTTTAGATAAAGCTGAAAATATAAAACAGGGTAAACTACTTTTTTTTTTTTTCCAATATATTTTTTATTGGGTTTTTGTTTCATTGTTTACAAAGATTGAACAGTGGGTAATACGTAGTATCACAAGAATACAAAAAGTTGTGGATACAAGGTAACAATAGGTATAACATATAGCACGGTAACAAGTAATCAAGGAACATGTACAAGGGTTCCCGTACGGCTCCTAGTTTCATGGAGGAGTCTACACAGTTGCGGTGGTGCTTTATGCGCTCGTGTATCGAGCGTCCTATACAACAATTATATGCTTATCGTGGGTTTCTAATCAGAGGATTGTCACGGGCTGGAGGTGTCTATCCGTTCGTCACACAGCTCTTATGGTTTGTTGTCATATAACGCTACCCAGGGGGCCCAGGTCGTGTGGAATCTTTGTGTTGTTTTTGCGTCAGGAGCGGTCATTCGTTCATACGTGTAGTATTGCTGTATTTTATCCCATAATGTGGCTTTGGTAGGACAAAGTGTGGATTTCCAGTTGCAAGCTATCAAATTACGAGCTGCTAAGATGGTAATTGCACTCAGTTGTTTGTGTGCATATTTAAATGATGGGGGGTAACGCATAAGTAGGAATAGTTCGGGGTGATGTCCTCTATGAGGGACATTAATGGCATTTAGAGTGTTTTGTACTTCTACCCAGAGGGGTTGTATGTTGGGGCATGACCACCATATGTGCGTATGTGTACCTATCTCCGCCGAGCATCTCCAGCAGAGAGGAGACGTATTGGGGTAAATTTTATGGAGTGTGTAGGGAGTTAAATGCCATCTGTACAGTAATTTCCTATGTGCTTCTATATGGGTGTAGCACTTAGTCCATTTAGATATGGCGTTCAATGCATGAATCCATTCGTCATCTGTAAGTTGGATAGTGCATTCTGTTTCCCACATTGCTTTGCAATGTGGTGCTGCGTTGGGCAAGGTATTATCCCATGTCTTATAACAGAGGGAAATACTGTTCTTCTTCATAGGGCTTTTCCAGCATCTTTCTATTACTGCCTTTGATGGAAGGGGACCCTGTTCAGGGGATTGTTGTTGTTTGTTTACATGTGTGTGGATGATCCCTTTCAGTTGTAAGTATGTGAAAATAGCGTTTGATGGCAATTCCCATTTCGTTTGTATGTCTGTGAAGGGTAATATTTCTTGCGATCGCATTATCTGGTGAGTATGTTTAATGCCTGCATGTACCCAAGTCTGTAGACGCATGTCTGGTGATATGGCTCTTAAGGCGGTTAGAGGGGCGTTGGGGTGGAATTTTTCTTTGGCCCCTACTGTGTCTAGGAATTTAGACCAAATGTGGACGGTCAGTGTTGTGGTGGGGTATAGGTTTGGTTTGGCTGGTCTATGTTTTTTCGGTGTCCATAGGTAGTCTAGCATTGCGTTCTTATCCAACTGGGCTTTTTCCATGTCTACCCATTGGATGATACCTTGATTTGAGTGCAATAGTATGCCCGATGCCAGCATCGTGGCTTTGTAGTACTGGTTTAGGTTGGGTAGCCCCACTCCTCCTTTTGTAGGATGTTTGTAGAGTAAAGCGCGGGATATGCGCGGTTTCTTGTTCCCCCATATGAATGAGCTGCAGATGTTTTGTAGGGAGTTGAAGAGTGTTTGTGGGGCTTGGATGGGAAGCATTCTAAATATGTAGAGAAGTTTGGGCAGTAACATCATCTTGTATGCGTTAATTTTTCCTAGCCAGGAGATATGCGTCTGAGACCATTTTTGTAGGTCTTTTTTGCACTGTTGGGGAAGCGTAAGGTAATTTAGTTTCAGGATTTCTGCTATCGTTGGTGCTATTTTTACGCCTAGGTATGTTAGCGATGTCTTTCTCCAGTCAAAGGGGTAGTTATCTTTCAGTATTGTTTTGGTGGTTAGTGTGAGTCCGACGGGAAGGGCCTGGGTTTTATCTTGATTCAGGCGGTAATGGGATATGTCGCCGAATATTTTCAGGGTTTCCATGAGGGGAGGCAAAGATCGCTGGGGGTCCCCTAGCGTTATCAGGATATCGTCGGCGAATAGCGCCAATTTATATTCCTGTTCTTGAATTGTGATTCCTTTTATGCAAGGATCTGTGCGAATTTTTTGGGCCAATGGTTCGAGCGATAGGATGTATAGGAGGGGGGACAGGGGGCAGCCTTGGCGTGTTCCATTGGTGATCGTGAATTGGTTAGATAGGAAGCCACCGTGTGCTACTTTAGCTGCTGGTGATGCGTAGAGTGCCATGATTCCTTTGATGAATTCAGCTGGGAATCCATATTTGGAGAGCACTTGTTGCATATATGTCCAGTTGAGTCGGTCGAAGGCCTTCTCCGCATCTAGTGCTAGGAGGAGGCCCCCGACCAACCCCCTACCCATTGAGGTTAATATGTTGAGGGTTTTCCGGGTGTTGTCTGATCCCTGTCTCCCCCCCACAAACCCCGATTGATCATTGTGTATCAGTTGTGCAATTATCTGGGCTAGTCTGTTGCTTAATATCTTTGCATATAGCTTGGCGTCACTGTTTAGTAGGGATATTGGCCTAAAGTTTTTGCAGATATTCGGGGGTTTCCCTGGCTTGGGTAGTGTGGAAATGTGGGCTAACAGCATTTCCGAGGGTAGCGTTCCCGTGTCATTACAGTGTTGGTATACGTTTAAGAGGTGTGGTGTAATGTGTTGGGAGAATATTTTATAATATCTGTTCGGAAGACCATCTGGTCCTGGTGCTTTGTTGACCGGTAGGTCTGTTATGGCTTTAGCTAATTCTTCGGCGGATATCGGTTGTTTGAGTTTGTGGATGTCGTCTTGTGTAAGTGAAGGTAAAGTAATGTTTGCCAGAAAGGCGTCAATGGTAGTCACGGAGGGTATTTGCACTGTTTCGTCCTCTTTTAGATTATACAGTTTGTGATAATAGTTGGCAAATTCGTTTACAATTTGTTTCGGATCTAGAATTTTTGAACCATTGATGTTAATAAGGGAGGCAATCCTGGAGGCGACCGATTTTTGTTTGAGTTGAGCAGCCAGTTTTGCTCCGGCTTTGTTACCATAAGTGAAGTATTTGTGTTTGGATTTTTGTAATAAGTAAGTGGTTTTGGCCAATTCATAGTCTCTTAGTTGTGATTGGGCTTTCAGTAAGGCTGCTTGTGTAGCGGGTGTTTGGGATTGCTTATTTTTATGTGTAAGTGCTGTTATCCTTTCTATTAATTGTATATATTGGGCTTGGCGCGTTTTTTTTGCTTGACTCGCGTGCTTAATGAAGCTGCCCCTGATCACAGCCTTATGGGCTAGCCATAAGTATTCTGGCGTAGTACCTGATCTTGTGTTTTCCGTAAAATAGTTTTGTAGATCTGTGGTAATCTGTGAGATTATTGCTGGGTCGTTAAGCAGAGATTCATTGAGTCTCCAGGTTGATCTGCCGGTGGACGAGAATTGCTCAGTTAGAGTTATGGTGATGGGGGCGTGGTCCGACCAGGAGATAATTCCAATATCAGTGTTTATTAGTCTCGATAGAGATGTGGCCTTAATGAGGAATCTATCGATTCTAGAATAGCTGTTGTGTGCAGCTGTATAGCAGGTATAATCTATGTCTGCCGGGTGTGATATTCTCCATGGGTCTACAAAGTTGTGTGTTGATAGTGTGTGACATATTTGGGATGTTTGTTTGCGGCGTTGTGTTAGTGTTTTGGAGGTTACCCTTTTGGAGGAGGATGAGTCCATATTTGCATCCAGGAGAAAGTTAGCGTCGCCTCCAAGAATTGCCTCCCCAAAGCTGTACCTTGACAAGAGACAAAACATATCATCAATGAATACAGGTTGACTTTCATTTGGGCTATATACATTCATCAAAGTGTACGGTTGGTTGTTGAGGCGGCATTGTAATATCAGATATCTGCCCTTTTTATCACTGATTTTGCGAATAAGTTCAAAGACAACTGATCTATGAATTAGGATCGAGACTCCTCTTTTTTTTTTATGGTAACAAGTGTGGTAATCTACAGGGAACCATGGGGAGTTAAATCTGGGCGTAGATCCCCATTTAAAATGGGTTTCCTGAAAGAAGGCCACTTGTGCCCCTTGTCTCTTGGCTTCTTGGAGGGCTAGTCTGCGTTTGTTGGGTGTATTGAGACCCTTGACATTAAGAGAGAAGAATTTAAGTGGCATATTGCTTGGTTGTATGATGGTATACAGGTAGACACTCGTGTACTTATTCCAGTAAAGGGATTTTTTATTTATTATATTTTTTTTTTATTTTTTTTCTCTTTTTTTTTTGGCGTTAGGGTTTGTTACCGAGACTATGGTACAGGTCCTTAGGTACAGGGATAGGGTTGGGGTTAAACTATGTACACTTGCCCGCTAGCCTCGAGGGCCTGATGCAACAGTGTGCGGACGGGAATTTAATGGCTCACTAGTGGGCCGTCGTTGGGGGTCAGTGGAAGTTTGGTATGAACTAAGTTAGTATTTCCAAAGTGGAATATGTGATTAGATTTGCAGTCTTAACCTTAAATTCTAAACAATATCCAATATAACAATCGAAGAATGAGCAGTATGGACTTTCCGCCAGCCGTGGGCCTATGCGGGGTGGCCACTTGTGCGGTAACAAAATATGTGGGTTTTTTTTTTTGTTTTTTTTGTTGTTTTTTTTTTATTAAATTGCATATTTCAAATCAGTCATGTAATCAGACAACCTCATTAGCACGAGTTGTCAGTAATATAACATTTTAAGTGCAAGAAGTTACGTGTCCCGGAGCGTGGAGGAGCGATGGTCACGATCAGTAGTTTCTGCGGCCTTGAGGGGTATTGGTGATCCATGGAAGTTGTTGCCAGTCTCTTGCCATTTTTCGTGGCGGTGGTGCGTCGGCCTTTTGTGTTCCATTCTGTGGAGCAGGGATGGGGATGTTCCAGTCTTCCAGAATCTGTATTCCGTCTTCAGGTGTGAGGATTGTGCGGTCTGCTCCATTTCGTTTGACGAGTAGTTTAGTAGGGAAGCCCCATTTGTATAGGATATTGGCGTTTCTGAGGGCTGTGGTAATCGGTGTAAAGGAGCGACGTTTGGTCATCGTGGCTGCTGACAGATCGATAAATAGTTTGATATCTGTGTATTCTTCTGGTAGGGATGGATTGAGTCTTGACGTTTGCATTATTTGGTCTTTGACCGTAAAATAGTGGAGTCTGGTTATGACGTCCCTTGGTACAGTGATGGGTAGGTGCCGTGGTTTGGGCAGCCTATGGGTCCTGTCCAGGCGGAGGTCTGCCTCTGGCATGGATGGGACCAGAGCTTTGAACAATTTTTGTACATAATGTGTAAGGTCCTGTGGGTTGATGTTCTCTGGTATACCACGGATCCTTATATTATTTCGCCTGTCCCTATCTTCATTATCTGCTATTTTTCCTTCCAGATATTTAACTTTGTTTTCCAGGGCTGTGTGTGCATCTGCTAGCTCATTATGAGCAGTTAGTATGCCCTCTGTTTTTTCTTCTAGATGGGCTGTTCTGTCCCCTATTGCCTGTATGTCAGCTTTAATGTCTGCAGCTATGCGCTGGAGGTCTGAAAATAGGGCTGATTTTAATTTATCCAGCATGGTACTCACTGAGGCATTTGTGGTAGGGATGGATGCTTCACTGCTTTGGTAGTGCTGTGAGTCTTCTCCGTCTGCATCGTGTGTTGGTGAGCCATGCGGTCCGACGCCATCTTGGTCTCCTGAGTGCTCCGTCTGTTGCGAGCTCAGGTGTAAGTCGATCGTTTTTTGTTTTAATTTTTTCGACGATTTGGTCGCCATTGCGCTCGGGGAGAGGTTGGTGGTAAGATGGGCTGAATTTGGTGGCAATTTCGCTGCGATACACGCTGTGGGGCCCACTATCTCGGCGGAGCTCTCCTTCTATGCGACTGCTTCCATGCGGTCCGTGGCCACGCCCCCCAGGGTAAACTACTTTTAACGGGGGATTTCAACCGAATTCTGGATGCTAACTTAGACAGAAAAACATTAAATACTGCTGGGCAAAATAAAGCTGCAATTTCGCAGGCAGTTCAATTTCAAAAGATACTCAGGAAATATGGATTTTATTAAGACACGGAGGCTCCTATTATGCTGCACTCTTTCTTTATTTACCTCAGCAGCAAAGAAAAATAACATTAAATCAGTATAAAAGAAACCAGTAAATAACATGAGGTATATCTTCATAGCAACAGCAACAGCCAATCAGCATCCTCTTTATAGCATAATAGGCAGTGTCCAGTATACTACTTCCTCTTTCTTTGCTGCTCCCTCAGTTAAGTGACACTGGGTCCCACGGTTCTTAACTGTGGGATCTTTTACTTTACTTTATTCATATCATTACTGTGCTTAATATAGTTATTACATTTTAATTATAATATTTTCATGTGTATACATATATTTAGTTACTTCATTTTAACGTAATTTGATTTATTTACTTCATTTGCGTCTGTTATATGCTTTATTGTATATCCTTTGATAATGTATTTCCCCTCTGACCTCCCTGGCCCCAAGATTACCATCAATTGGGGCTCAGGGACGTCTTTGAGGATCTTTATCCCCTGCACAGGGCCATTGTGCTGTTTTTTCCCTTCATTTATCTGTCTGGCTGCTGCTCTGCCACCAACTGCCAGAAATCCAAGTTGGGGTTTAGTTGTAGTGGCAGCCGGGCAGCTTCTTTGTTTTTATATTACAATTGCTATTTTTTTTTCACTATTGTGAGTACTTTCATTTCTTTATCCTGTTTAGTTATTTATTTTTACTTGAGGGTTACTCAACCCTTTACTTTTGGTATTATTTTGCTTTATTCAGCCCCTTAGGTTTGTTTGTATATTTATGATGCAGTCTGACAGGATCTTTCTGTGTCTTCTGGGTCTACAGCAAACATGCAGATTAATGTAGAAGCCTCTCCAGGTATCTCTGGAGATGAGGCTGAATTTCTGCTTTACTGATCCTGCTGACATGCAGGCTTTAATTGACACTTCCATGGCAAAAGCAATGACAAGGCCCTGGTGTCAGGCCACAAGGCCTCATATAAGGCTAAACACTCCTCCAAAACAATAGGGGTGGACAGTACCATACCTGTCATGGATGGCGCGATTAATTTACCACCGCGCAAAAGAGCTACTAGTCGGGCAAAATCGACTAGACTTTGGAAAAGGGCAAAAGCCCAATTAAACTCTGAATCCGAGTTCACTGATATTGAGGAGAAGTTCACCGAGTTCTATATGGAGGTGTACCTGTACTCACACCTGCGCTGCTTCAGCCTGGCCGCAAGGCCTCATATAAGGCTAAACACTCCTCCAAAACAATAGAGATGGACAGTACCAAACCTGTCACGGATGGCGTGATTAATTTACCACCACGCAAAAGAGCTACTAGTCGGGCAAAATCGACTAGACTTTGAAAAAGGGCAAAAGCCCAATTGAACTCTAAATCTGAGCTCAGGGATATTAAGGAGGAGTTCCCTGAGTACTATATGATATTGAGGAGGAGTTCCCTGAGTACTATATGGAGGTGTATCTGTACTCACACCTGCTCTGCTTCAGCCTGGCCGCAAGGCCTCATATAAGGCTAAACACTCCTCCAAAACAATAAAGATGGACAGTTCCATACCTGTCACGGATGGCGCGATTAATTTACCACCGCGCAAAAGAGCTACTAGTCAGGCAAAATCGACTAGACTGGAAAAGGGCAAAAGCCCAACTGAACTCTGAATCTGAGCTCAGTGATATTGAGGAGGAGTTCCCTGGGTCCTATATGAAGGATTCAGAGGATATTTCTGATCCTGATTATGAAATTACTGATGAAGAGGATGCTAATCCCGTTTGGGATACACGTCCTGTTAAACCTACCAAGATTTAGGTAGATTATGCAGACTCAGGGACACCGATAGGATCTTGGACACTCAATGTGAACCCCTATTTGAACCTGACAACCTATGTCACCCAGTGGTCTCCTCAGACCATGTAGCAAAGTATATTGGCATCCAGAGTACGCAAGCCTTTTGAGAAGGCAAAGTGAAATAAATTGCGGGCTGAATGGCCACGCCGAACAGTCCCTGATGACTCATGTTAAACGCTATCAGTCAATCCTAAAAGCATTCAATTCCTGAGTAAGACAGGATGGAAGCCATCTAAAGGCTTAGATTTTCATTGCAAAACTGTCAGGATAAAATCCTGGGCATCTTGGGCTCAGCAGCCAAGATCTTTGAAGCAGTGGAGGATGATCTAGAATTAGATTGTGCCATCTTAAGTGGTTAGATCCAGAGAGTGATTTAAGTTGGCAACGCCAACAATGCGGTTGTCACAGAACGCCACAAATCGATCTTGCTCAAGATTGAGCCCAAACGAGCCAGATAACACAGGCAAAAGGTTTTCTCTTTGGGGACAGCTTTGTAAAAGAATTGGGCTCCTTTGTCCTGCTAAACAAACAGAAGTTCTTTTAGACAGAACCAAGGCTCTTATACTTGCCGAGCCGATTTCTTTGAACAATGTACTATACCAACCTCCTTCTCACAAAGTGGCCGACCCTGGATTGTTAGTGGCCTAAGAGGTGCTCCTAAGACGTCTTCACAATTTCCATTCTTTCTTACTGATAGTGAGGGGTAGGCTCACACATTTTTCCCATGTATGATCCCTCATTTCATCAGATGCTTAGGTTCTTCACACTGTGAAAGGGTATTGCATAGACTTCCTTTCTCTACTTGTTCAATGTTCCCCATCAAGGGAAATTGTTTTTTCCCAATGAGACACAGACCTTGTCTCTGTGGACAATCAATTGTAGAGATTCTGGCGCATACCCTGGGTTACGTGAGCAACCTTTTCTTGTTTCCCAAAAAAGGCAAAAGTATCCGTCCAGTAATAAATTTGAGACTGCTCAATAGTTATGAGCATGTCAGCACTTCCAAGATGGAAGGAGAGCATTGTTTAAGGGATCTTCTCCAACCAGCAGATTGGATGGCCAAATTGGATCTGCAGGATGCATATCTCACAGTGCCTATCCCAGTACAACATCAAGATCGAGAACTTCCTGCAATTTACATGGTAGGGCAGTAAATAGAGGTACAGTTGCCTCCCATTCGGACTGTCTTCGGCTCCATGGTGCTTCACCAAGCTCACATCTTATAATATATTTAGATGGCATTTTCATTCTGGCTCAGTCTATTCAATTAATCCGGACATACCTTGCATGGACTTTGACTCTGTTAGAGAACCTAGGCTTCCTGACCAATTGGGAGAAATCCATTATTGTTCCCACGCAACAAATAAAATTTCTGGGTTATATTGGATTATTGTAGATTCTACCCTTCAAACTCTTCACCCTCCGGTGGCAAAATTAGCCAATACAAAGAAGGAGATAGGCGAACACTAGCAACCTCTCAACTCTCTCTCAAACAACTGTTGAGAATGTTAGGCCTTCTAGCGGCATCTATACAGGCCATTTCTACAGGTCTTCTTGGCTATCGAGCCCTACAACGATTACAAACTTCATCTCAAGGGCAGCACATCATACACAGATATGGTAACTCTGGACTCAGAAGCAGAGAATGAACGCCAATGGTGGCTTCTTCACATGGAAGCTTGGAATAAGCACACCATATTTTGTACAGCTCCAGATTTGATAATCAAATCCGACGCAAGTTTGCACGGTTGGGGTGCTCAATGCAGAACTATTTCCACCAAGAGCAGATAATCAAACCTGGAATCAACACTCCACATCAATTGTTTGGAACACCCGGTTCCTTTGCAGTCCATAGTTTTCTCCCCAACTCAAGCCCAATGCGCTATCCTTCTGAAGATGGACAACGTGTCAGCAGTCCGCTACATCAATCACTTGGAGGCACAAAATACAAAATTCTGACCTACATGCCTCGTGATTGCTGGCAATTTTGCCTGAGACACGGCATTTCAGTCACGGCAGAATATATTCAAGGTCTCTCCAACACTACGACGGACTGGTATTCACGCCAACTCGGAGATTCCAGCGACTGGCACTTGGATTCCATGGTCTTCCAAGACATCTGAAACCTATGGGGTCTATTGGAAATAGATCTTTTCGCTTCTCGTTTGAATGCTCAACTTCCCCGTTTTTTCAGTTGGAGACCAGATCCGATAGCATTGACTATGAATGTTTTCTCCAAGGAATTATGATTTTTTGCCTTTTCCATCTACATCGCCAGTCCGGCACCTGTTGATCGTGGCTCCTCTATCGCCATCCCAACCATAGTTCTCTTTTCTTCAGGAGATGGTTATCGACCTTCCATCTCTCGAGTGCCTTCTTCAGGATCCAGATGGTGTACCTCATCCTCTTGTTCTCCAAGGTCTCTTGCATCTCATAGTGTAGTCTATTTCAGGGAACCTTGGTCGGTCAAGGGAGTTTCGCAATCAACTCCCCAACTTATCAAGGGTGCACCCAACACGAGACAGGCTTATAAATCTGCTTGGAGCAGATGGCATAGTTGGTGCATGAAAATAAATTTAAATCCCATATCGGCTCC